AAAAAAAAAAAAAAAAAAAAAAAAAGAAAAAAAAACAGAATCTGTAATCACTTTTTTGACGGCCTGCATAATAGTGTAAATCTTCTTTTGCTTCCGCATTTAGGTTTTACAGTACTTCATTATGCTACTCTAACAATTTGTGAATTACTCTTTTAGAATGTCCCAACTAACTGTTTATTATTCTAGATTTCAGCTAAGCTTGAATCTATATACAAGAAAAAAATATTGTACTTGTTTTGAGCTTCAGATTCTTCCCGTTTAAATCAGAAATTTCGGGCCTGAACAGTTGTATGTTAAAATTTTATCACTCTTTGATTTAAGCTTCTTTTTTCTTTTCGTTATCAGTATGGTCAAAATTATTTCTATTTTGATCCAAGCCTTCTATAATAATTGTAATGGAAAAAAAAGTAGTTGAAATCTGTATGTTTATTTGTAATACTTGTCGGATAATATGTTAGAAGAAAAAAGAACTTTACTGTGACTCAAATATGAGGTATTTCATGCTTGTATTGCTCATTTTACTGTTACACTCCATCTCACAAGAAAATTTTGCAAATTTATTTTCGCTTTATAATACCATTTGCTCTCTGTTTGGTGATATCACCTTAATTTCCAAACCATTCCTTTCAAGAAGCCAAAAGGTGATCAAAAATAAGGTAACATATGTAGATCGCATGCGAAAATAAAGTGTTATTGTTTTAGAGTAAAATTACATTCCTGAGCATCAGAAAACTTTCAAGGTAAAAAGAAAGGTCAAGTTACAATTTTCTCCTTCAAATACTGCACTCTTCTGGTTTCAGATAACTCTGCTTCATTAATATCCGTTAAAAAGTACCACTTATACAAGAGGTATGGAAAAAAAATTGATGTCGAAAAAGCTTTCTAAAGAATCAATGGGTTCCGAAAACCTGGACTATTAGCAGCATAAAATTTTTAAGGAAACAGTCTTAACATTTGAACAAAAGAAAATTAACAGACAACAATTAGTAGCGCCTATTTCAAGTAGCAAAGTTTATTTTGAGACCGATAACAAGAATGTAAACCCTTAACGCACAAGTAGCCATTTTGTATCTCACAAAGTAACTTTTTAGAGATCACACTAACAAGCCTGTAACCAATTCGAATTCTAGAAACTTGTAATTTTAGTGACTTAAATTTTCATTATTAACAAAGTCTTCCTTGAAACAGTTATCGACGGCTTCTTGCTTCTTGGTAACAATTTCTGTCAACTAAAAAAATTCCCACGCTTGAGAGAGACCTCCGAAAACTCTAAGAAGAAACTACCGTAACCGCCACTACCCCCATACGCAAGGTTTGACAAAGATCTGTAGAAATCATTTCAATCAAAATTTTTAACGCACTTGATAGCGTCTAGCAAATCACTGAAGCCTTATTTTATCATCACTTAAAAATCCTCAGTCTTTATTGGGCAATGTTACAAAATCAGACTAAAATTTCTCCAAGTGTTTCTTTGCTTAAAAAACTAAATCAGTTTTAAACAGTAACTTCCAATAACAAATTCTGACTATATCTTCCAAATGTGCCGCTTATGTCACCCACAGTCCTCCACTTCTGAGTAAAAACAGAAGCAATCCTGACGATACTGCAGTTTAAAAGACGGACATTATTTATGGCAGAAAAGTTTCAAAAGTCCGCCACTTTTTCAAACGGCAATCCCCGAACTGTAATGTTGCTTTTATTCTGCTCATTCTAAATGAGCAGTTTATTTTACTAATAAATACCAATTCCGGTCAAATTTTTTTGTTGAATGACTGCAAGAGCAAATTCTTAGTCGTACAAAACCCACCCTTCAAATCTCAGATTATATAAAACTCAGTAAAGTCAGTTTTCAAACTGACTTCTTCATCATTTCTGACTCATCTAAGCCCTGCGCAACATAAATCGAAACCGAAAAACCTATCCTCAGTCTTCAGACCAACTTCAGTCAACACTCCCAACAATTTTTTCCTTCAAATAAATAGCAGCTCCAACGACAATCGCCACGATCTCAGATAATTTTGGTTCATTACGTGTATCCAAAGAGATAAGCATACTGAACTCGTATAAACCACGGTAACAGAACCAAACACGTAAAACAACGATATGTACGTTCTAAAAGTTATATATAATAGGTGGAATTTTTTCTCACAAAAGAAAGAAAATTTGATGTCCAACAACTGTACTATAATACTGAAGATGAGTGCCACGTGAACCTAGAAAAACATGGCCGTTCGTACGTATCTGCAGTTGCTCCAGCATATTACTTTCCTCAATATTCATAAACTGCTCATTCTTCTTATTAGAACCCAACAATAACGAAGCAAATAATATAAGTAAGAAGAAACCAAATTTTAATGACAGCCATTCTGTATAAAATAATACGCTTCGTAAGTACAAATTTGTCAATGAACAATCCAGTTGTATACAGGTCACTCGTTCATGTCATACTTTGTTGAAATTCGTCCGTCAAATGAAAGAATGAAATGTTCCAAAACATGACAAGAACTAAGCGGCTATCACTCTTCAGTTTTTTCAAAGTATCATTTATCGTCACTCTAGCAGTTGATATCAATAAAATTTTAAATCGCTGGAAAACATCTGACATCACAGAAAATCGAACTCCGACTCATCCTAAACTTAAGGTCATAGTATTAACATCTCCATACAAATAAAAGATTGAAATGCAATTACTGAAAAAATCAAAACAAAAAAAAAAAAGAAGAAAAAAGAAAGAGTGACGACGACAACAGATTAAAACAAAGTACTAGGCAAATTACAAATAATAAATGCTTACAAACCCCGATCAATTACATGACACACTGATAGCGAAAAAACTATTGCAACTAGAAAAATGGAATGAATAATCCTTAAATTTGTCAAAATATAAAAGATAATTTCAACTAGACAACAATAATCTCATAAATTAAAACTTCCACGCTTAACCTTCAGAACACCAAACAAAAATGTGACCAAGCTGTTGAAGTAATGCTAACAAGTACGCCTTATGTCCTTCAGGCTGATATATACAAACGTGTAGCAATTATCTAACACGTCACTTGAAACAGGTCCCCATTTCAACAAAAAATTAGAAAGACACAAATGTCAATAAATTCGCATACCATATCACAAAAAAAAAGAAACAACCTGAAAGTAACTAAAGAACTTTTTGGGTCCCAGAGATTATTTCTGACAAGAATTTTTCATTATTTTACTCAAATTCAAACTTTGGCAAATTTAAATAACTCCAAAAGAATGACGAAAAGTCTTCTGTAACCCAGTAAACAGCAGAGGATTAAAGCGCCAATGTGCAAAGAGCGCCAAAAAAAATATTGCTTACTTCCCATATCATTTCTCTTGTCAAGAAAAGTTCTAAACTTTAACGAATAATATAACGAACGAGATTTGAAAAGAAAAAAGATGCTTATAAAACGTAACTAAACGCAACATTTACATCAAAATTAAAGTGAAATTAATAAAAAATAAATTATTCCGGAAAAAACAAGTAAACAACCATTCAAAAAACATATTACCCCCTCAAAGTTAACCATCAAAAACTATTAGCAAAAGTAGTAACAGATTTCCTAACATAATCAAACACCTTTGCTTCCCACTCAGGCACTGAAAATCTTCCACATGCTGCAGGAGTAGCACTTCATTAATCAGCAGCACCAACCTTCTTCCTCCAGCTGCGCAGCTTCATTAGCTTTCAGTAGAAGCCTTCCCTCCTTGTTCTTCCTTTCTTCATCGCTCTGCACATGCATAGGCTTACTTTGTTGCAATTTATGAACTAAAGTCATAAAAATTGATTCCACATGATCTGCTTCAGAATCTGCTAACGCCGAAGTTTCAAATAAAGCC